TAAGAAAGTACGAGGTGAGAAGAGTGAGAAGTACAGAAGGCAGGGCCTTAAAAACCTTTAAAGATTAAGGGCAATGGGGAGGCACTGAAGGGTTTTAAAGCGCTGGCTGGCATAATTAGTCCAGGGGTTTTAAAAGCTGCAGGATCTTATACAGAAAATGAATGCAAAAAAGTAGTATCTCCAAAGGTTCCAATGTCATCCCATTCTGATTGAGCACCTGCGTGTGAAATGCATTATGAAGGGTTCTGCGGGAACGGAGAAACTGGCCAACAGCAGAGCCAAAAGAGTTCATGTGTTTTGTCTCTAAATAGCTGAATCACGAATACAAATCCCCAGAGAATTCAAACAGCTGTGGAAAATAGCCACGTTGGAGCCTGACAATGGCGGGCTCTCGGCGCCACCATGCCTCCATTTCTTCTGCCGGCCACGTACGGAGAGAGAGATGTTAGCGGGCTTGCGCTCCCACAGAGCACAATGCATCAGAAATAGAACAGAGTTAACACAGCAGATCACCCATTCGCCAAGTTCACCAATGCTCACGGAATCCAGTGACTCGTTCCCGAAGAGAGGGGTTAAGTAACAGATGTGTTGGAGGGACGGTAAGCAAATACGACATTAAAAAAAAAAAAAAATCAGACTGGCTTCTTTTGATTTGGCTCTGTGCTGGTTGTTAATACCATCAGGGAATAACAAGGAAACGGATACGTTAATTGTGCGGTTCCGCATGACGTCAGTGATAAAAAAAGAAAACAGTATCAAGGAATAAAGGGGCAAAACTTGCAGTGATTGGGGAACTTAAGGATAATACGCTTTCTAAACATGTTTCAGTGTGTGTCTGTGCAGAGACACTAATTCACATATAGCTCTTGGTGTAAAGCCTCAACTTTTTTTGTGTGGTGCTGATTCTCTAAGAACCTGACGAGTTTTCTTTGAGAGAGAAGTAGCAGCCCAATCTAGCTCAGCTGTACTCAATCTGAGTTGCTTTCCTTCCTACAAACCCTCACTTCAAAGCAAGGAACATAATGTACAATTTTTTAATGGCTCTAGACCCAGGCACTCAGGCTCTCTGCTCTGCGCCTTACCTCAGTGTAAACACCTAATCAGGATTGCCTGCGTTTCATCAATAGCAGCCAAATGCAATTCGAGAACCACAAGCCTTTGAAGTCCTCCCAGCAAAGGCCGGTTTTCTAGTCTGGGATAATGACATGCCATGATTGCTGTCTTTGTTGTATCTTTTCAGTAGAGAAGCAATTATAGGCCCCAATTTAACAGAATAGACATTACACAGCTTATGATGCTCAAAATGCAATTTCATTTGATCATTTTCTCGATTTGATTGGTATTAATAGAATGGTTCACAAAAAAAAAAAAAAAATAGCTGGCAGAGGTTGTGTCCCATTCCACTTTCAAAGAGATAATGTAGAAGTATGCTTTACTTGCCCTGAGGCTCTCACTGGGGTGATTCAGACACCGAGTTCCACCAAAACAGCCTGTGGATGGAAATATTGCACATCCTACACTCTCTGGGGAAGGAAGCACAGGACAATGTATTTGTAATTCGGAAACTTTTTACCAGAGCTGTGTGTAAGGGATCCCATTCCGGGTCACAGGATCACCAGTGACAGACTGAATTAACTAAACCAAGTCCCTTTACAAAAGCCAGGGAATTGAACATCCTAGTGGCGGATCTAGGAATCAACCCAATTTTTTCTCCCAGGCTCCAGATAACATTTTTGTCCAAGACATCACCTGTTTGAGGTTTGAAAAAGGATTATTTCCTTGCCAGCCTATTTAGATTTTTTCCCCCCAACTCAGCCTTCATTTCTTGTCCAGGAAAGAGATGATTTTACTTGTAAATGAGGGGTGTTTCCTTTTAACATCATGGCCATAAGGGATAGAAACCTTTGCAATAGCAGGGACCAAAATTATGAAACCTAATACTTTTATAGACCTCTCTTGTTTCCTAAACCAGTGCCAGGAGAGGGACTGAGAGATGCCATCAAGAGTCACAGTTCCTGACCTTCGGTGGCAGCATTTATATCCCTAAACTTTCTATTTCAGAGCAAGTTAGACTGTTTGGTGGTGTTAGGAAGTTTTCCTTCTGCAGAGTAGGTAATCTTTCAAAATCTGTTGAGTACTCCTATTTAATTGTTTTTTAAGATTTTATTTATTTATTAAAGAGAGAGAGAAAGCACAAGCAGGGGGAGCGGCAGGCAGAGGGAGAAGCAGACTCCTTGCTGCACAGGGAGCCCGTTGCGGGGCTCGATCCCATGACCTGAGCCGAAGGCAGACGCTTAATGACTGAGCCACCCAGGCGCCCTGAGTACTCCTATTTGTAGACATTGAATAGACATTACACAGCTTATGATGCTCAAAATGCAATTTCATTTGATCCCATGATCCAATAGCACATTTTGCTCCTGTATTTGCCATGATAATTCAAGCATGAAGAAGTCTTATTTTCATTTTTTCCCATTCTCAGATCAACCTTTAAGTATTCAAACTTCCATACCATCTGATTGCTGTATCTATATGAGTACAGTAACGACGACAGGTATGTATCCGGGTAGAGATAAGAGTTCACCCAAAATAAATGTTGTCTTGCATGTGGCCACAGAAGCCGCATCGAGCAGTGAGGAATGAGGTTATCTTTATTGTCAGGCACTGACTTATTAATATTTAACAAATATTTCCCCCTCTTTCTCATTTGAATAGCAGTCTGCATAAATGCAAAGTAAAAGTAAGGAGCAGCAGGAGAATCCGAACACAAACATGACAGACAGATTCTGGGGGTGCCTGGGGGGCTCAGTCAGTTAAGCATCTGCCTTCAGCTCAGGTCATGATCCTGGGATCCTTGGATCAAGCCCCACATCGGGCTCCTTGCTCAGTGGTGAGCCTGCTTCTCCCTCCCCCTTTGCTGCTCCCCCTGCTTGCGCTCTCTCACTCTCGCTCTCAATAAATAAAATCTTATTTAAAAAAATGACAGATTCTAAATCCCATGCTTTTCCCAGCGTTACATAGCTTGCTGCTTCTCACACGACACAGCCCACCAGGTTCAATTTAATAAAACAAGTGTAAAATCCAGAATCTAAATCTAAAAATTAGTTACAGCAGTTTAGAAAGGGGGAAGTCAACCTTTACAAGCCACAAAGCACAGTAGCCAAATAAGCCAACCTGGGTAACCTGTCACTGGAGGAATGGCAAAGAAATCTTGCCCCAGATCCTGTAAATAAGAGGAGGTTTAGCAAAGGCATCACAGTCAGCGGCTAACATTTAGGGCTATTGTCTGAGAGAGAGATTAATCGACTTAATCCATTATTTCAGAGGGCAGAGGGATAGAAATTACAGGAAGATATATTTCTGCTCTCCTAGGAAGAACTTTTAGGTGGTTCAATGATGCAACAGTATGTTCATCATCCATGAAACAGAGATTAAGAGAGCTAACATTTTATTCCATGGAAAGGTTGAAAGGACCAGGTCTCCCACAGAAAGGGAGGGAGGATTCACAAGCCACCTTATGCTCCCTCCTCAGCCCATAGGACATAAACGGGTGACTCCTGTCAGGAGAAAGGGCATGAGTTTAGGCAGCAAGTGGATGAGTATCCACCAGGGATGGTACAGAAGTACTAAGCAGTTATACTGGATTATCTCCAGATCCTTTGACCAACATTAAGACAGTATAACTTTAAGTTTGCTTTCTGAAACTCTTCCTGGTGGCTAGAATTCCATAGAGCATAGAGACAATCTAATTTCTTGATTTAAAATAGGTAGTGGGGCACCTGACTGGCTTAGTAGAGAGAGCAAATGACTCGATCTCGGGTTTGTGAGTGTGAACCCCAGAATGGGTGTAGAGATTATTGAAAATAAACTTTAAAAATAAAATAAAATAGGTAGCTAATGGAGGCAATGAAGGGCCTCCATAATTTAGGGACCTAAATCCCATGTAGCTGCCTTTGTCAGTGGTTCCCAAACCTTGCTCCAGAGTAGACCCACCTGGGAAACTTTTAAAGTGTAATGCTAGGGGCTCCTGGGTGGCTCAGTCAGTTAAGCGTCTGCCTTCGGCTCAGGTCATGATCCCAGGGTCCTGGGATGGAGCCCTGCATTGGGCTCCCTGCTCAGTGGGGAGCCTGCTTCTCCCTCTCCTCCTTCACCCCCCGCCCCCTGCTCGTGCTCTCTCTCCCAAATAAACAAATAAAATCTTAAAAAAAAATAAAGTATAATGCTATCTGGGACCACCCCAGAGCTCCTGATTTAATCTATCTGGGATAGGACCAGGGCACTGATATTTTGTCATTCTAACATCCAACTAAAGTTGAGAACCTCTGATCTACATCATTCAAATTCACTGAATGCCAACATTACAAATTCTGCAAGTCAAAGATGATATTTCAAAATTGCTGAATATGAGACTCTGGAGTTAGACTGCCTGGCTCCTCCACTTACTAGCTATTGATTCTGGGCAAGTTACTTAATGTCTCTGTCCCTCAGTTTTCTCATCTGCAAGAAGGGGGTAATAGTACATACCCAATAAGGTTAATATAGTATAACTGATAGAATATATGCTAAATGCTTAGGACAGCTACTAGCACACCATGAACATTCACTGTATATTAAATATTGTTATTTCTATTATTATCATCATCTTGAAGCATAGTGTTATTTCACTATTCATTATTTCATTTAATATACTCAACATTAGTTGCTACATCCGGTTCAGATAACTGTTCTAAAATTGGGTCCCCTGAGTGTGTATTGAACATTTAAAGTAAATAGTAGTTTGACCTCAAAGCACCAATTCTCACATCAAGCCTGTGGGAGAAAACATTATTTATTCCCGTTTTCCTTAGGAACAATCCAGGTCCCTGAGGACAAAGATATATCCTTGAACTGAAAATAAAACGCAGCCCTGCAGGACCTCTTTCTAGAGTACACAGATGAGCCTCGTATCTGAGACTTAAAATGAATCCCATTAACATGCTTTATATGTTTTACCCTCTTAGATCTCCTACCCCATCAGTGTAACTGACAAGACGTCTATTCAGAACGCCAAAGAGATTGAAAATGCTGCCATCAATCCTGAAGACAAATGGCATCAAAGAGCCCAACAGCTAAAGGTTACCTGCTAGATTGAACTTTAAATGGGTTTCAAGGGTTACTGCTAAATATAAGTAATGTCCACGACTCACTTCTTATCACTTACAGGTTTATTCCTATGCCCGAGACCTAGTGAACCACCCTTCTAAGAGCAAGACTGGTGTCTGCCCAGATGGGCCATTGCTTGCTCAGCCAACCAAGTCTACCCATTTTTCCAAAGGTTCTAAATTTCCTAGAAGAAAATCATCACATCACTCTTTAAAAATTCAGAGTTAAAACCCCAAACAGAAGAAAAGCATGGAGAAAGTGCGGGGGGATGGGATCACAGTTGTAAAATATTGTCCAGATCTGCACTGCTCCCAAGTCTGTTTCCTTATGGAGCTGGTAGTCACAGCATCCCTAGCTGATGGGGAACACAATCCCTAAAATTGGGCAGAAATCCCCAGAGCCTCATTTAACCCTCATTTGCAGGAAGGGAAAGCCAACTAACCAGTAATTTAGCATGAAAACATCCTTTTCTGGCCCTGGGTTTACTACTCTGATATCATAATGTGATTTTAGGGAAGACTTTTGCAAAACAGTCCCCCTGACCGTTTCTCTAGAAGAGGAAAAGCACTAGCAGATGGTTTCTTCTGGAACCGGTGTATGGAGTTCTGTGGAGCAGTCTTACACCAGATTCTATCCCTGCTGAAGGAGGGGTGAGCCCTGTGAAATCACACAGCCTAGAAAGCCTTCTGACACCATCAGTTCAAACTATGTACAGTGCTAAAGGTATAATAATAAAAATAAAGTTCATTCCAGTTTCAGAGAATTTAGAAAAGAGTTACAACCTAAATCATCATCTTTCCTTCACAGTGGCTTCCAGGTCCCTCTCAGAGTTGCATGCATGCATGCATGCATGCATGCATGAATGAATAAATAAATAAATAAAAATAAAAAAATAAAAACAGTCATTCACCCAGAGCTTCCTGAAAGCTGATGCCAGAGGGACCACACCCAGAGGCACTGAAATGTCCATGGCAGTGGGATGTAGAGGACAGGGTCTACACCAGACCTCTGCGAGAGCCTGGGGAGCTTGGCCAACAGGATGGAGAGGACAAGGGAAATACCTTAAGGTTTTGTCACGTGTTACAGATAATGGACTGGGTCAGAAGACACGGATTTTGCCTGTCTTTTAGTTGATGCAGAACTTTGGGCAAATCTCAACTCCCCCCAAGCCTTAAGTTTCTTCCTTATTAAATGAAGAGTTGCCTCAAATGAACTGCAAGATGCATCCCAGTAACAAAATGCTATTATGCTAGGATATTTTTCTCTAGTTACTTAAATTATTATAGAAAACCTATTTGAAGCCTGTAAGATTCTTGCAATCTCGAGCTTCCATAATCATCACTACACAATATTATAGGACCAAAGCCAATGATAAAATAATCACAGGGCTTGATTTGTGGCATGGCCTTAGACAGAGGCGGTCAAAAATTTTGTATGGAAGAAAATCAGAAGAAAGCCAAAAGAATGCTGTGTGTTCTCTGTGTGTACTAGAACTCATTTGTTTATAACCCACTCCTGAACGAGGACAAAGAGGAGCCAAACATATAAAATCATTAGACCTAAAACGATCAACGCAGAGTGGTCCAGGGGATGCGTCCCTTTCTTTATTTAGAAAGGATTTGTTATCTCCCCGCTGCATCCTACACACTAGCAAGGCAGGCACTCAGCTCCAAGTTGCCTTTCTTTTTCTGATTCAGCTACCCAAATCCAGGGCTTTCTTTCTGATCCCCCGCCCTGCATGAGGATTTCCCAGCCTCTCCCACCCCATCCTCTGCCCCCTCACTCTGCAACTGTGCCTGTGGTCTGGACCACTCCCTCAGGGTTTATCATTTGGCTGCATTTCATTAGCTGCTGCCTGTATTCCTTTTGTACCAACTACACTAGAAGCTGCCTGAACATTAAGATTGTATGTTTCTCTACAGCTGTTAGCACAGTGCTTTGTCCAAAGCGAACACTCAGTAAATATTTACTGGTTGGTTACAGAAACGTGTAAAAATCATTTCGTGAAAATGGGCCTCTCTGAAATTTTTTTTCTTGAAAGATAACTTCAGAAGACTCTACATATCCCTCAGTAGACCTACTCTAACAATGAATATCTCCCACTAATAAGAAATGTCTTTACATGAAATCAAAATAATTCCCACAGCAAATATTTATTGAGTACCAACTATATTCCAGGCACTCAGGGTCAGGGGTCTGGCCCAAAAAACATGGTTCAAAAAAAAAAAAAAAAGAACTTTAAAAAAAATAATTAAAGAAAAGATCTTTTTTAAAAAATGGTCCCTACCCTCAAGGAGCCCAAAACTTTAGTTGGAAGACAGTTATGTGATCATTATAATGCAATAATAGGAACATAGGTTCAACATGCAGTAGGAACGAAAGGAGCACCTAATTCTGCCTTAAAAGGCAAGAAAAGTCTCCTGAAAAGAAACAGCATTTGAACAGACCTTAGAAGGATGAATCAAAATATGGCAAACCGACAAATGGGAGCTGAGGTTTGAGAGCATGAGAGACGTGGTGTATCCTCAGCCTCACCCACAGCTCAGCAACTGGGGGAGCACGTGTGAGGGAGGGAAGTGGTGGGACACGGGCAGGTTAGGTAACTAGAGGTAGGGGCCATGGAAGGCTTTTATGTCGGCCAAAAGGTTTTAGATTTTATCCTGCAAATGGCAGGAAGCCATGGGCAAATTTTAAGCAGGTTAATGACATGATGAGGCTGAACGTGGTAGAAAATTCATTCTAGCCAGGGTCTGGAGAATAGACTGCAAGGAAATAAGACTGCAGAGACAGCAAAACCAGTTAGGGGATGTTTGCTGTGGTTCCTGTAAGAGATCATTCGAGAACTCAGGGCAGCAGCACCTGCTCTGGGTCTGTCTCACACTCCGCACACCATTCACTCACTTTTCAGTATGGTGGACAGATCTAAATCCACCAACTGGATGAAACTTCCTGCAGCTCAGAGCAGCCCCCTCAGTGCCTGCCTAGAGACGGTCAAGGAGGGAGATTAACAAATTCCGCAACTGTTTGAATACAAGGTAAATGGGGGAGAGAGAAAGAGACTGGTTTCCAAGTGTCCGATTAGTGGTACTAATACCACTGAGGTAGAACAGAAGGGCTTTCGTGCTGGGGTGGAATGGGGGAAGGGCACGAGAACAGGGGTGGTGAGCCTGATGTCGAGTTTGGAGGAAGAATGCGATCCGAGCATAGAACTCAGAAGAGACATCTGAGTTAGCAACATACGTTTGATCTTAAGAATCCACTCCCTAGGGCGCCTGGGTGGCTCAGTTGGTTAAGCGACTGCCTTCGGCTCAGGTCATGATCCTGGAGTCCCGGGATCGAGTCCCACGTCGGGCTCCCTGCTC